TGATCCTAACTATCTAGGGCGTGTCTTCATTTCCTGTCTTTTTTTATCAGAGAACCTTACATTTATTAGAATTCCATTTTCACTGGAGCCAAAATTTCATATAGATGGTAGTTTTGTTGGCCCCAGTCTCTAATTGAAGCACAAGTTAGGGAGAAAAATTGCTCCTGACACTGAATGTTCTTTTCTTTCTGCATTGACTTCTTACAATAAGGGTACCCTCTTGGTGGTATGGCAGATAATTTCTAACCCTATATTTCCCTCAGCAAATACTGTTTTCAACCTTTCTTACCTTGTGTCATGTCACCTTTTCCTGCATTCAAAGTTGGATATCACAAAAGACTATCAAACATATCAGCTATAGATTTTCTTCATGACTTAAACTATCAGAGAATTGCTGAGGACTGTTTCTGTTCTCATAGAAATGAGAGAGTCTTCTTTATTAAAGGGAAGAGGAATGTTAAAAAAGGATGAAGAGGATGAAGGTTGTCTCGGCAAGAAAGCACAAAAAAACTCGGGAAAATGGAAAATATAGAGAATGGTATAAGTAACAGGATTTGAGAGAGTTTGATTGGAAAATTTACCAATAATTATGATTCATTGTGGCTAAAGATTAGATAAAAAGAAATCACATGGATAATGCTTTCATCAGCAACCAAGGCCAACCATGTAGTACTGTTAATCTATCTACAGGTACAGTTGACAATCCCTATCCGAAATTCCAAAATCCTCCGAAAACCGAAAGCTTTTTCTGGAGCATCACTCCTGTGCTGCGGCATACCCTGATTTATTTTTATTTTCATTTATTTATTTATTTTTTATTTTAAATTTTACTGGTTTTAACCCACCCGGACACAGGTCACTGACCCACATCAGGCCTGAATTAATAATAATAATAACTAATAATAATAATAATGATAATAATAATAACTAATAATAATAATAATAATAATAATAATAATAATAATAATAATAATAATAATAATAATAACAATAATAATAATAATAATAATAATAATACAATTAATAATAATAATAATAATAATAATAATAATAATAATAATAATTAATAATAATAATAATAATAATAATAATAATAATAATAATAATAATAATAATAATAATAATAATAATAATAATAATAATAATAATAATAATACCAATAATAATAATACCAATAATAATAATAATAATACCAATAATAATAATAATAATAATAATAATACCAATAATAATAATAATAATAATAATAATACCAATAATAATAATAATAATAATAATAATACCAATAATAATAATAATAATAATAATAATAATAATAATAATAATAATAATAATAATAATAATAATAATAATAATAATAATAATAATAATAATAATAATAATAATAATAATAATAATAATAATAACCTATCAAAAATCCGACAACCTCGGGACCTGAGGAGTGCCGGATTTTCGAAAATGCCGGAAAACTGATGGTTATATTTGCTGTATAAGTTTAACAGAAAATGACTACCTGTACAGTCCTTTAAACAAAGAAAATTAAACACTTAAGTTAGGATAATATAATTGACATTGCTGGATTCCTTGTAAGACCAGGAATATTTTGAATATAAATTTCATATATTTTGCACAAAAGTTAACATATTTACTCAGAGTAAACATTATATCTAAAATTTGTATGTCTAATGCAAAATCTATGGTGTTTATATTCGAAATGATCATCAAATTGTAAGAATTCCAGCAATGTAAATTATATTCTGGCCGGGTAATTTGTATGAATTTTATGAGCTAAAACATATATCTTCATTAAATAAACAAAGAAATATTTGAAAATGCGCTCCGAAATCCATGCCGGAAAACTGAAGGTTCCGGTTTATCGGTTGCCGGATTTTTGATAAGCCACCTGTAATAATAATAATAATAATAATAATAATAATAATGATAATAATAATAATAAAAATAAATAAAAATTTTAATAAAAATGCTTAAATAAAATAATGAAAACAATAATAAAATAAAAATAACAACGATAATAATAATAAAACAAAAATGAAAAAAGGATCATAAGTGAGAAACACGACCTAGACCTATGAATTATTATTATTATTATTATTATTATTATTATTATTATTATTATTATTATTATTATTATTATTATTATTATTATTGTTGCTATTGTTGCTATTATTATTATTGCTATTATTATTATTGCTATTATTATTATTGCTATTATTATTATTGCTATTGCTACATTTTCGTCCCCCAGGCCCTGATGTGGGTCAGTGACCTGTGCCCGGGTGGGCTAAACCCCATTAAAAAAAAATAAATAAATGAAAAAAATAAAAAAATAAATCACCATTCTGAAATCCGAAAAATTCCGAAATCCGAAACACGTATGGCTCCAAGGTTTTCGGATAAGGGGTTGTCAACCTGTAATTGTATTTTTACTCTGTAGTTTTTGCTGCTACTTCTTTTCTAGTTTCTCCTCTATATTTGCTAAGGCAATCTTATTGTTGAGTATCTCTTTATTATATCTTAGTTCAGTTCATTGGTAGTTCTGTACTTGACTTAAAGGATACATCAACATGTAATGCTTCACCAAATGTTTTGAATATAATTTTGGATTATGGTTGGTAGCCAATGTAAATTTAATTACCTTGTGTAATTTGTATCCCTTTGAATACAAAAAAGGTACATGATATATATATATATATATATATATATATATATATATATATATATATATATATATATATATATATATATATATATATATATATATATATATATATATATATATATATATATATATATATATATATATATATATATATATATATATATATATATATATATATATATATATATATATATATATATATATATATATATATATATATATATATATATATATATATATATATATATATATGATGAAAAATGGATTTACATGATATATATATATATATATATATATATATATATATATATATATATATATATATATATATATATATATATATATATATATATATATATATATATATATATATATACAGTATATATATATATATATACATATATATATATATATATATATATATATATATATATATATATATATATATATATATATATATATATATATATATATATATATATATATATATATATATATATATATATATATATATGTATATATATATATATACCTCTGTTTTAATCTAGAACCCATCACTGCTCCCTTCTCTGAGCTGTGCAAATCTTCACACAGATTTGGATATATTAATGAAATTACAAATTTTTTTATCCCTATTACTTCCAAGCTTCCCTATCAGGCTCATTATTTGTACACACCATTCAAGAAGTGAACCAAGGATATTAGTCATAATTGCATTCACGTTATGTAACAGATTTTAATGTTATCTTAATTTTAAGTATAACTTTTAAAAAAATTGATTTTTTTTTCATTTGAAAGTTTGTGAAAAATATATTATTAAAAAATTCTCCGAAGTGCTTATATCTCTACACGATGTATTTGTCAAAATATTTTCTTGCACAACTTTTTTCAGGCAAGGAATTGAACAGAGAGGATGGACATTGTTTTCCTTTTTTTAATATTAAAGCCACTGTCAGTTTATAATGTTTTGAATGTTATTGCTGCCAGTTGTATTGAAATTTGATTCTTTTATAAAGAAATTGAAAGGCTCCAATGGAAGGTTTGTTAGAATACCACCCTTAAGAATTTCAGCAAAATACACTACTGTATAGTATGGTATTGAGAACTAATTAATAAATACACAATATGTATAAAAATTATATATCTCACCACAGCTGTTGTATAATGAAGGACCTGACTGGAAACTTTTTATAATGCAAAATATACTTCTAGTTGTTCCAGTTAAAAATCTTATGTACTAAGGTACTAATGATTTTATTAATATGGATATAATGATGGGTAAAATGACTTGTACAGTTGTGCTTCCAAGTATTTAAGCTGTTGATCAAGTTCACTTAAGTTCTCTTGTCAAAAGCAACCTTTTACTGGAGTACATTATGTTTACTCTTCGTCTTGATAAAAATTTTGTTTACAGATAATTATTACATAATTATGTAGCATCATGTTGGGAAGTCCCATAATATTTCGATATGGTTGGAAAACATTTGCCATATTATCTCTGTTCTCTTCCTAAATCTGCTTCCTTTCATCTCAGTCAGTGTTTCTCCCAGTAGCAAGGCCTTTGACCTGTAGCCTGCACTCATCTATTTTAAATGGTCATTGAAAGAAGATGTTAGGTTGACAGCTATATTTTACTTGGATTTGTTTAAGCAAGTTGTCAAATTATAATTTTTAATTAAAATCCCTCTACTGTACTCTTGCTGCAACTAAAGTTAACCAAGTAAGCATTTGTGATACTTTGAGGTGTTAATTATGATATAAGGTTGACAAGATTGGTTAGGATATGCCAGATATGAACCCCAGGCAGTATATCAACCATCAGCAAATTTAACACCTCATCCCTAACATCTCCAGTAGTTAGCAGGTCTGGTTACACAGTTCTTTATTTGTAAACTATTTCTTACATTGGCCTTTCAAGGTGGCAAAATTGTAATAAGATTTGAATTGTTTTATATGTACAAAGATCATGCATTTTTGTTCCTGTGTTGATAAGAAGTGTCATTTTAATGCATTTATGGTAAAAATTTTATAACTGTTTTACCTGCTAACATTTGATTATTTACTTTAGATTGGTACGGTATGCGTATGACTTGATAGTGTTCCAACTGAATACAATTAATATTAGATATTTTTTTCCTATTGAAGTACCTTTTGAGAATATTGTTGATTTTTGCCTAAAAGAGAATTGGGATAATCGTTTAAAAGAGTATAAGTGCCTGCTGGTTAAGTAATTCCATGATTTAACTACTTTTCATTCCACCCTATCCCCTTGCATTTCCTTACACGCCTAACCAAATGCCGATGATTGGTTGGTATTTAGCAATTATGCAAACGACTGGTGGAAACACTGGTGAGTCTTCCACCTTTTCCTCATTTTTTTTTATTGGCAATTTCTCCAGTTCCTGCATTGGTTGTTTGTTTGTCTGTCTGTCTGTCCATGCCATTTTCTTCTTGTTCGTTATCCCTGATGTTTTTTTTTTGCTTGTTGGCATGTTTGGGGTCAGCAAATGCGAGAATATTTGGAAAATGTACACTTGGCCATCTGTGTACACCAGTAGCTGTGGTGTACAAAATGTACCATATATTTCCTGCATTTGTTCTTAAAGTCATCAGTAATCACAATCCTTTTTTTTACTGAAGCAGAATTAATTAATCTGATCTCTTTATCTGGGTTTCATTTGAGATGGAGATTTAATATTAAAGTGGCCACACTTGCTTCACCATGTGTATATTTTCAAAATTATTCCTCACATACCTAAATGCATTGCAGTGGTAATAGAAATGTGTTAAATTTTATTGAATGTAGTTTTTTATTATTACATTATTGTAATTCATTACATGGAATCAATAATTTTTTCTTAGCATATTTAACACTTCCCCCTTATAAGTAATATACTATGTTCTTTCAGCTGATGCATTTTTAATATAACTTGTTTCATTGCAGTTGGTTGCATTTCATAAGAGAACCTCACTATTTTATCCATATTTTGTGAAGACTTAGTGACTGATATACAGATAAATACTGTAGTCATATTTCTAAATGTTGCTCCATGACAGCTCTTGCTACTTGGTCTTCAATAATCGACATATGAAAGATGTGTATCAGGTTAATAGGAAAATTTACCCAGTAATCAGAAAATACCTTTTATAAATTGAAGGAGAACCTTTACTTTCGTGTACAAAACAATGCAGACCGGCCAAGTCTTCCCGTCGAGGGCTATCAACTTATATATTTAGTGTCTAGGAAGAGAGTTTATTATATTTATTCTCTGAGGACGAGAGATAGAATTTCTTTGTAATATTTACCATATAAAATACAAAAAGTATCCAACAACATGCACATAGATTGGTGCTTTTTATCATGTGCTTATTATTATCTATGCTCAAGTTTGGTTACAACTCGCACACTCTCTCCTTCTCTTTCTGAAACATATATTGTATGTAAGGCCATTGAAAATAGCTCATTTTGTAATTTTTTTTTTGCTGTATTAAAAAAACAACTGTTTTAGAAATTATATTTTTACAACAGATCATATATGATTTATTTTGTAATATTGATACTACCATAGTTAGGCCTTTCTTGTTCAACTTTGTGAATATTGATACTCTTGTAAAAAATTAAAATTCACGAAAGAAATTAAGATCACACATACCTGTAAGAGCCATACAACGTACTAAACATACACAATGCAACTTAGATAATGGCAAAATATACATGACACATATTGCATATTCAATAAGAGAGTAGGCAGCTTCACATACAGTGCATACGAGACATGCATGCAAGAACTCGTTTTTGCATCTATGCATGAGTACACAGTTTGACCCTGAGAGTGTGTTAGAAACGGACACACGCTCCATTTTTTAATTTATAAAAATGATTGTTTGAGAGATTGTCCATTTCATCTAGTGTATTTATGACTAGTCAACTCCTAAATATTTGACTGATTAAAGGAATAGTTATATTCAGAGACTGACAATTTGTGATGTCATATTAGCCCATGTGCACCACGTCCATCTCATGGCTTGGCTAGAAATTATTGTCCCAACATTCAGACCTGTAGTTCTTGTCGTTATTCCTTGTTGGGCAGATGCCTTGCACCATAGTTTGTTTCCTGGAAGGAGCTAAATGTACCTTGCCATTTTTTCTTAGCACTTGGGCAATTATAGGTTGAAATCACTGTCCTGATTTGTAGTATTACAAGAAAGGCAGACTCTTCATTATTTTCATGGTTTATTAGGCAGATTCTTCATTATTTTCATGGTGTATTAGCTGTTTACCTTTATTTCAACCTAATTTGAAGTGAACTATGGGACCAACCTTCCCCAAGATATATTGGTTTGGTCATTCACAAATTTCAAAGTAGGTAACTCAACATGCTTTATGAGTTTTTACACCAGGTGTGAGTGTCTGGCTTAGGGTAATAATTCTCTTGTGTGATCTAAAATAGAATTATTGCAAGTGCAATTTTGAATAATAGTTTCTGGCTCACTGTATTCTATCAGGGAAAAAACAGCACATAAAATGTTTACTGTGAGGTTTCATGAGCTCTTTATGTTCTGGATCTTACCACAAATAAATCCTTATGGGGGTCAATTAAATAGTGAAGACTTATGTTGTTCAGTGGGCCTATAACCCAGGTTGAGCACCCCAAGAGGGAATGATTGTTTTCTTTAAGTACAGGTAATAAGTTGTTTGTTAATTCCTCTTTCAATGTGAACATCTGTACTGTACATCATTGGATTGTTGCAACATTGTTGTATGTTATTGTGATTCTGTTTTGAGATTAATGGTGAAATTTGCTATTAATAATTTTGAATCTTTGGACCCTGATTATGAATAATTTTCAGTTTATTCAACAGGATAAGCCTAGTGTAGTGTAAGGATGTGAAAGATTGCTCCATGTTAGGGTTCATAATCTTTCAATTGTGGTGTAATTGCCAGGTTTTTTGCTAGAATACCTAATAGTACTGTAATTTAAGTAATAGAGCTGATTCTACTGCAACCTCAATTTCTCTGATGTAAGTTGCCCTTTTGGTGGAAAGTTGTAATTGGGCTCAAATTATTAACTTATGAAAATGATGAGTCAGCTTATCCAACACAAAAAATGATTGTTTTGCCTATTTTCCATGGGTTAGGAAGGCTAGAGCTTTGGATTGTAATGTGTTCTAGCTCTGGGATAAAGTCCTTCAGTACTAATTTCTTTGGATGAAGGGGAGGCTTCCTCTTCAGGTCCAGCTTTAACTCTTTGATTCTGGTTCAGAACTGGACCTTGAATCGGGTTCAGAACTGGACCCGACTATAGTTCCAATACCTGTCTGTTTCTGAACCATCATTTCACCGTTCAATGATGGATGGCAGTGATATTGTGATATCTGGGTAATAGAGGTATGGAAAATTCTGAGAGGTTATGTGTTTGGCCGTCTGCTTCCAGTGTAACTCTCTAAAGGAAAGGTTTGCAAGGGTTAGATTCTGAAAATATGTTGAGGATATAGACAGTAATTTACTCAACCCGACTAATTTACATTGAAAACTCGTTTCCTCATTCTAAGGAGACACTAATATATATTTGTCAAAAAGTGTTGAGAACATTAAAAGGGTGAACAGTTTCAGCAGTTGATAGATCGGGAATCAGATGTTAGAAGACTCTTGTTCTGTAGCCTTCTTTTTCATGTAGGTTTTTCAAATGAAAGTTTGGAAAAAGGATTTTCTTGGGTTAAAAATTCATAATTCATCAGTTCTGTCTCCCTTTGTAGAAACAGTATTTTGTTTTGCCTTTGCTCAGGGGTCGTTTAAGGCTCTAGCCTTTGTAGGCAAGAAATTATATAAGTGTTTTTGTTTTTAATATCTTCAAGCCAGAGTTAATGCTGGTGAGTACTGTTTAGTTAGTGTCTTATCTTTCCATATGGCTTTTCTGTGGATTTGCTAGTATTTTATTTTTTCTTTACCTTGATTATGTTCGACCAGAAACATTGAAGGTGGCAAATTTTTCCCTCCCCAAGGGTGTATCAGTTCTTGAGAAGAGATCAGTTGGGACCTCCTCCTCCTCTTGTGTAGTATGACTACTGTAATTCTTGCAGGAAGTATTTTTCTTGAGCTGTGAGTAAACCAATAGTCAGGGATGAGAGTAAATCCTTAGAGACCAGCTGGTAAAGAGTCTAACATTCTGTAAGATGCTGGCCAGTGACAGGCACGGTGAGCCTAGCTTATTGTGACATTACAACTCGTCAGTCTAAAAGAGGTGACTTTTGCTTCTAATTACCCATGTTTAAGAGCTATGGCTGAAATGGAGAGATAAAACTAATCTTTTTATTAGTCTCGAGTTGCAAATGTGCAAGGTTTATTTAGACACATAAACATCTGGTCTAGACTTGGTCATAAAAGGGAGTTTTAGAATCAGTCCTTCATTTTTATTTACATTCAGCAGTAATAAGCACAGTTGGTAGAACGATAGAAATGGGCTACTATAGATGATATTTTGAAAACCTTTCTAGTTCTGTTTTTGGTTTTCAGTTTTGCACAATAGTACACACACACACACCCCCACCTACCTACCCCTTTTTTTTTTAAACGTGGCCTCCAGCCTCCCCCATTTATTACCTTAATATTAACTATACTAATACATAAGTAGCTATCCTAGCTGTGTTGAGTTAGTTGAGCCACAGATCTATGTGACATTCAGTGACTTTTGCCTCATAGTCAATATCTGCAACTGTTGTCGGCTTTGGGGCCGATGCTCTCGTTCCCCTGAGGTAGAGCAAAGCCGAACGAAGGAGAGAGAAGGACAGTCGACATCTCATCCAGGCAGTAACATAACTTCTGGGCTGCTGCTTCTGTTCAGAGATCACCTCCGCGAGTCTGGCGTAGATGCATCCCACCAGAGGTTGTGAACACCAGAGGAGTGAAGCTGCCTTGATCAACGTTCTGAATTCTCTCCCCGTATGCCCTTATCTTGTCGTTCTTGTTCCTCCTGTGTGCAGCATCAAGAGCTAATTTACTGTGACATGCGGCCATGGGATAAAAAATCCTGATGTCGAAGAAGACTCGCTGTCCCCGCGTCCAGAATCCTCGAGCACTGACGTCAACACAGGCTTCGTTGGATGTGTTTGAAGTCCTATGTTGGAAATTCTCACTGTCCAATGGAAGGAGTCGGTTCTAACCTGACATCACGGCAGATTTCCTTCAACATATTTGCTGTGAGATCCCTTACTTCGTCATGCCTCATGCATATGAAGCCCCCTTTCTTGCACTCCATGGCGTTATCGACGTCATAGGAAGAGCCACACACATTGGGAAGGCAAACCTTCTACTGGCCTACCGTACCTTAGAGCAATGGCATCTGTAAATTC